GAGACCAGAAGAAAGAATAATTAATCCATCTTAACATCCTTGTTAAGGAGGTATTAAATATGGGGGTTTTGCACAGCAGATTACATAGTAAGTTAATGTGGTTTACGGTTGAGTCTGTGTTCCCTAAAACAGAAAGGAAAGAGAAAAGAATCCTGAACTATCTGAACTGATATTCCAGTTCTTGCTTTAACTTAATTAAATAGTTTGGAAGCAGCTGTTAGCTTCTTGCAGCAGCTTGCTGCAAATTAAGTGTGCTGCCTATAGATATCTTATATAGAGAAGCAGTTTTACCATATTTGATAAATAGTAACATTCAAGTGGACAGTTTACTGATTTTTAACATACACCTATGTTAATATCTATAGCTATGAATAAGGTATTTGCAATTATCCCCATTGTGGAGCTGGAGAAATTGAAACACAGAATTTCAGGTCCAGCTTCTCACTTGGCACATCACCTTTTTGTACTGCTCTTCTCTCACACTGGTTTTTGCTGCACAGGGAGACTCTTGATTCTGTGTTCATGCTACACAGCACATGCCAAACTCAGACACTTTATCAGATCTTAATATTTGGCTTCAATCTTCCAACGTGGCATCCAATTTCTGATATCGTAATGGGAGCTCACATTATAAACACATGGGATGTCTCTCAGAGCACATCCTGTTCTTGAATATTTAAAAAAAAATCCAAGAAATGTGAATTTACTATTTTGAACTTAAGTAAGTAGTCCGAGATCACCCTGCCAGTACTGAAAGAACAGAATTTGCTTCAAACACATAGTTTTGCAAGACAATTACTCCACGTGGCAGGATGACAGCAAAGATGAGGGCAGTGCTGCAGGCAGCACACAGGGCAGCCCGTGTGGCAGCTCTGACAGATCAGCAGTCTCTGACCCATGACAGCTTGGGTGTACAGAAAGCTTATGATTAATGATTACATGTTAGGGTGATAAAAAAAAAACTGATAGCTTTTAGTCCTATGTGTATTGACCTGAGGGAACCTGAATTCAAAAGGGAGGAGTAGAGAGACATAGAAAATGAGGGAGAGTACAAAGGAAGAGACCAAAGGGAGAAGAAGAATGTCCCAAATGTTAAATGAAAGCATCTGCATGAAAAGCTCCAGGCCAGCATGCTCAGAGAATGCACTCTTCTGTCTCAGTGACCTTGTGAAGATAAACTGAACAAAAAGCTTCAGGCAACATCAGACAGGATTTAAGAAGCAGTTTTAATTTTAGCCAGATTGTTTTGTATTTTCAGCTCTGAGGTTATCTGGGGATGCAATGTGCACACAGTGGAACAAAATGTAGTTGTCTCCCCAAACTCTGCTCCCACACCTGATGGCAAATTCACTTCTGTGCTTCCAGGGAGAATCAAAAATAATTATTTTGGCTACACAGGGAAGATCTAATTGTGGTATCACACAGACAGAGTACCAATGTATCCTAATTTTACTCCAGAATGCAATTACTCGGCTACTTTATTCATGAGCAACATACCAGACCTATACTCAACACAGTATGTGCTGACATGCCAGTTCTTTCTACTCACTTCATGTCCTTGCTCTATCTCCAGACTGACAGCTATTTACCATGAAGAACCTGTTTATTCCTCCTGTACCTTAGTTTCCTCATCTATAAAATGGAAGCATTCTACCTAAAAAGAGTGCAAGGATTCGCTAAAATGTGTCTGTATGTTATTGAATACATTTACTAGTAATTTCAATTACTAGTAATAACAAATTAGCAAATACATACAAACTCTAGGAGCTGGCTGCACACAAGAAAACATGCATTCATCACAGTCTATTGCAGCTTATTAGCACAATTAATTCCCTACAAAACAAATGCAATCTGACCTGCAACCTGGAGATGCAGATGGCATGTAAATCCAAAGTGAGGGTCTAGACCTTCAAGCCTGTAGTAAAATGTCAAATAATGAACTAAAATGGTAATAAAACCAATTCACACTAATTGGTATTAGCCCCTCTGCAGGTATACTACCACAAATAACAAACAGCAGTTGGGAATATGAGACCTCAGTATTCGTCCTGCACCTCCCTAGCACCACCTCTTTATTGGACAATCACTGATGAACATTTACACTGATGGAGGATCTTGTATCGAAGGTTCTCAAAGTGCTTTACAAACTGTCTCTAATGTGTATAGACAGTGCATGTTGTTTCCCCCATCCTTGCATGCACTGTCCTTCATAACCTCTATTTGATAAGATATCCCAAGGCCACATTGTCTCTCCCAGTCTGCAGGAAAGACATCCATCCTTCCTCTTGGCAGGTCTTTTGACCCAATCTTCCTTTTAAATAGCATTTTCTTATTTTTTTCTCTATAAGATCTTTTCTTAGGGGACGGTTCTTTCCCACCTTGAGTGTATAACTCACCATCACTTGCAATAGCTTCTTGAATCCCTGACACTGGAATCAATACAGCAGAGATGGCAGAGGCTGAGAGTGAGGAAAGGAGGTAGGAAAACAAAAGTGAAGATGTTGTAACCTTTTAGTCCTTTGCTGTCAGCTCTGCACACCAGGATGCCTGACTGGACTCACACACCTTGTACTAACACAGTGACTGTGCAGGGAGCTGTGGTGACTCAGGTCTGCTCTGTGCATCCTCCAAACCAACAGTAGGGAACTAAGGCAATGCCCTCCATGAAATGAAGCAGCACAGGGATATCTCACAACACTGCTCTCTGCACCGTGTCTCTCCTAATCAGCCTTCTGGACCAAAACCAGAGGCCTGTGCTGTACGCAGGCCCCAGCCTGTAGCATGCACAGTGCACATGTCCTATTGGATTACAGGGCAGAGTGCACTCACATGCTCTGCTTGTCAGAGCCCAGCGTGCCTCTGCAAGAAGGAAATAAAGGAGGGGATGGATAAAAGCAACCTGAGCAGCACAGGGCAACCCGAGCCCTGTCAGAAGGCAGGATGGGGGACGCCACCACAAACACAGGGGCAGCAGGGAAACATACCTGGCAGGCACACTGTAAGCCTAAAATGGAATCTCACTCCACAAAGAAAATCAATGGGAATCTTCACAGACTTTAATATTGTTCAAAAATGTGAGACTAGCTTATCACCTAGGAGCTCATTGTATTGACAAGTGGAACAGATAACAGTTAGGTCCCCATTTGGATACTAAAACACAGAGCAATATGGCAAAGATCAATGCAATGCAGTCCTCTCATTGAGAAAATGCTTCTATCTGCATTAGCTTCAAAACTGCCCCCAGTACCTTTGATTGTGGTCCAAGAGAAAAAATGTCTCTTAGAAGTCCATACTGGGATTCACACTTTTTTCCTTCACAGGCAACTAATAGTTTGGAGTTCTTAGGAAAAAAAAAAAAAAAAAAAAAAAAAGGGACTCAAAAATGTGATCACAGGTGAAGCAGAGGAGTTAATAGTCAAAGGGAGAGAGCAGCAGAAGAGGCATCTGTTTCAGAGGGCAGAAGTTTATCATCCAGGACAGGATTTCCACTAGGTTTATCATTGTTTTCTGTGTCTAGAATGAAGGTCATTAAAGATGTTTCCACTCTGAATTAGCAATGAGTTCCCACTTAATCTATAGTGTCTCAGCACTCCTATGGGACTTGGCTCCAAGAACCTTGGTGAAACTCTTTCTCCCATCTCACATTCAGGTATCTACCTCACATTTTTTCCCTCATTCCCCCCATTCCTCTCTCCTCAGTTTATTCTCCTACCAGATCTTGTCAAAGAGCCCTCCCTGCTTCCTCGACTGTGTCACACATCACAGTTTGGGACACCACTACAGAAATTATTATAGGAAGTAGCTCCGTTCCACAATTCCCTAGCTGCTGTCATTTATTAGCACGTATCCCCAAACCCCCGATACCTGGAGCCTGAGGAGCTACAAATACTGGAGCAGTTTTCGGAGGTAGCAAAGACAGAGCCCTTCCAGGAGCACCGGGGAGGCTCTGGACGCTCTGCTGAAGCTTTCGAGGGGCAGGTACTCGCCTCCTCCGGACCTCTCGCGGCTCCCATCACACGGAGATCTCCCTCATTTAGACATTTTAGGCACAAGTCAAGGAGGGCTTGGCCAGGGGGGGTCGGTGTAACGCAGGGACTAAAGGCGAAGCATCCGACCTTGGGCAGACCCCGCGCTCCCGCCTCCCCCTCAGCCGCCCCCTCACGCCGGCCCGCGCGCGCCCCCTGGCGGAGGGCGGGAGCAGGCGGCGGGGGCGGCGTGAGGGACCCGGAGAGGAGCGGGCGGCAAGAGGGACAGTGGGAGCCGGGAATGGTGCGGGCAGCGGGGCCAGGGAGCCATCGTCCCCCTGGACTCGGCACTGCTGAAGCCGCGCCTCAAGTGCTGTGTCCAGTTCTGGGACCCCGATTCAGGAAGGATATTGGGGTGTAATATATCCCAACCAGAACGTGCCAGGATATCCTCCACTAACAATGCAGTGAGTCCAGAGGAGGGCAGCTGAGCTGGGAAAGGGTCTGGAGAGTATGTCCTTGTGAAGAGCGGCTGAGGGAGTTTGGGGTGTTTAGCCTGGAGAAAGCTCAGGAGGGACCTTATCGCTCTCTACAAGTACCTGAAAGGGAACTGGAGTTAGGTGGGAATGAGGCTTTCTCCCAGGCAACAAGCGACAGGACAAGAGGACAGTGTTAAGCTGTGCCAAGGGAAGTTTAAGTTGGTCACGAGGAGGAATTTCTTCACAAAAAGGCTGATCAGACATTGGAATGGGCTAGCCAGGGTGATGGAGTCACCGTCCCTGAAGGAGTTTAAGGAAAGGCCGGACGTGGTCTGGCTAACATGGTTGTGACTGGTCACAGGATGGGCACGATGACCTCAGGTCAGCGATTCTGACTCCGAGACCGGCCGGCGGCTCGCGCAGCACCGCGCACGCGCAGCCCATGCAGGGGGGCGTGGCCCCGGCGTCCCTTGTCCCCACCCCCGCCCGCCGCCCATTGGCTACAGCGGCGGAGGCGCCTCTCCCATTGGCCGGGCGCGCCGTCCGTCCGGTCCGTGCCGCGCGCCGCCGCCGCCGCCATGGTGCGGTTCAAGAACAGGTGAGGCGGGCGGGAGGCGCCGCTGCGGTGCCCGGGCCGGTCCCGCGCCGCTCACGCCGCTCTGTTCCGCAGGTACGTGCTCTGCGAGGTGGTCTCGGAGGACCCGCGGTGCCGGCAGTGCATCGAGGACCGCGCGCTGGGCCTCGCCGTCAGAGACGCCATCGCACGGGTGCACGGGGACTACGGCCTGGCGTGCTGCTCCATCTCCTTCACAGGTGCGGGCGAGACGGGCGGCCCCGGGGGTGCGGGGTCCCTCCGCGTCCGCTCACCTGTGCGTGTGTCCCCCGCAGTGAAGTACCTGAACGCCTACACCGGGACGGTGCTGCTGCGGTGCCGCAAGGACTCGTACCGGCTGCTCTGCTCCGCGCTGCCCTTCGTGCGCTACCTGGAGAGCCGCGCCCAGCGCTACCCCTGCTTCCTCAACACCCTGCACGTCGGAGGTCAGGAGCCCCCCGGGCCTGGGGGGAGGACGGAGCTTTAAATCCTGCCTGCCACGACCCCGTGGTGCTGCTCTGCGTGCGACAGACATTCCTTGTGTGTTACTAACAGCAATTGCTTTCAGCAGATCTAAATAAGAAACAGGCACCAGAAGTTCTTTTTTGAAACCCTCGTTAATTTTGCTTGAAGCTTCATTACATTTATCACAAAACCAAAGCAGCAAATACAATGTTACATTATTTTAAAATATCTTTTCAAAGTATAGTATCTTCTGTATTGTGAAAATTAACACCCAGGGGAACGAACAGGCACTGCACGTTAGAAATCATTACTCCACCACTTCAGTGCAGAAATGCAGTCTACAGCCCCCTTTGTAGCATTTGCATTAATAACCTTGTTTACTGAGGCATTTGTCACTTCAGACAATGCTCTTTGGGAAATACAGCAGCAGCTTTGAAACATTTGCTGTGTAGATTGTTACATGCTGTTCTTGTGACTTCTGCAGGTACCATAAGAACATGTCAGAAATTTCTGATCCAGTATAACAGAACACAGCTGCTGAGGTTGTTGCAAAACTGTACAAATGAAGGTGAGTTTCTCCAGCCGCTTTCCTAAAATGTAGCCTTAATTCCTAGGGGTGTTGTAGGATATGCTGGGCTACTTCTGAATTCTTGGCCTGAGAAATGTTTGTCTTTAGAAGTGGAAGATAGTCCAGTGTATGTGAAGAGATCAAGTAATAACCCTCTATTGCTCTCTTTATTGCAGAAGAAAGACAATGCATACAGAAGTCCTTGTTGAGCTGTTCCCTTACAGAAGAGCAGTCTCAAAGTGGAGATGAGGAGGAAGATGATGGCACAGAGACAGACTGAATGTCACTTGTTACTGTTCACCTCCATTCCATACTCGTTTAATCAAGACCTGATTAAAGATGGTTATCTTCAGTGTTAAGCAGTGCAGGGGCTAGGAAAAGCATTTGTTCATATTTAGACTTCATTCCCCATTTCAGATGTTCTTAAACAATTTTTTTAAAAATAAAACATTATTTCACTTAAGTAGGCGACTTGCCTATTTCACTTCAGGAGTCAAAACCACTCCTGAGGAGTGTAGCAGCTCAATGTGTTCTTCATGCTGAGGTAGAAGGGAGCTTTAGGCAGTTGGCAGACAAGGAATGTATTTATTCTCCTTCAGCATACAAAAAGCATTAACAGCTGCTTTTTACCTTATCTTTAAGTGCACTGTTAGCCCTGTGGCTATCCACTGTTTTGAGTGAGAAAAGCACCAGTTGTGTACACAGGAGCAGAGAGTACATGGAATGTATGGCAGAGCTGCAAGGCTCAACTCCATTCCCCCCCCTCCCCCCATTATAAAACTCATAGGTACAAGTACTGCTTAGATATTTATTAAGTTTACACCAATCAGTTACAGGAAAGTAGCATTGCTGGTATTATCTCGAATCCATAGGAAAACAAGATACAATTGAAGATGCTGTCCCTGTGGGGACTGCCCCTGCAGCAGGGACAGCCTGCCTAGCCCACATCCACTTCCCTTATCCTAATGCCTGTGACATGTGGAGGTGAGTTACACCAGCTCCAACTATTCTCTCTTCCCAATGCAAAGAAAATTTGACTATAAATGTCCAGAGATAACAGAACACAACAGATACTGGTTAGACACTTAAAGTAGTTACTCCTGTTCCATAGCTTAAAATGACTTGCTGTAAACACAGTTCACTGTATATTTGAATCTCTTAGTTGCTTTCTCTGTCCTCACCAATTGTTTTCCCATATGCATTTAAAGTATTGACAGCAAGACATGTCACCACTTTCAAGCATCTTGTCATAGTTTCTTTGCAGTCCCTGACAAGCTGTACTGTCTTCCATTGAGTAGGGTTAGTTGTGACCAAGCGTGAAGTCAAACTGCTTTCAAAGAATGTTCTGCAGGTGTTTCCTCTATCCTCCTGTAGCAGTTGGAAGTATTCTTTACCTCCCCCCTTCTCCTTTCTGGTTTACAGCCACATGTGATGGACTCTTTGGTACCAGCTTCCCATGAGGCACACATGTGGAGCCTGTTGCTCTGAAATCAAGCAACCATGTACTGACATCAGATTTTTAAACAGGGACACAAGCACTGACTGCCAGTGGTGTTGGAATACCTAACTCCAAGTGCCTCAGACACACACTTCCTCCTCACTCAGATCAGTGTTAGAGGGACAGAGCACAGTGAAGCCTGCGCCACTGGGGCTGAAGACAACAGAAGATACTGTCAGTCTCCCTCCCTAAGTTCAGTGGTACTTTGCTGAGGAAGGATGCAGTACTGTAAGTGCGTGTGCGTATGATTTATTGCAACTGTTGGCCTTGACTGGTACGTTACACCTAAAATTCATTTTATTCAACAAAATCCACGCCACTTAACTCATTAGCTCAAATCAAACCACAAGCAGTGCAGAATGTGACCACTCAAAGAAAAGAGCAGGGAGGGATCCAGGAGAAACATGTTTGTAGCACAGATCAACTTAAATCCCAGAACCAAGCAGACACAGGCCCTTATCTCAGTACAAGAAAACCCCAGTTTCTTGCTAGGATGTAAAGGTTATCTACAGACTTCAGCTACCAGATGTTCTTCCAGCTCAAGAGCAGCCAGTGTCAAACCATCATTCAGATGGTTACCAGAAGCCCTAGAGGGGAGTGTTTATTCTAGATGATCAGGTTAAAAAGAATGTGTAGCCCATGGGTGGCAAAAAACCCCTAAAAAGTAGCAGCCTCACTCACCCACATTAAAACAGACCTGAACAACTGAGAGAAGTCAGGAGGTTCCTTCTACCACTAGTGCCATTTTGAAATACACAAATCATCAAGCCACTTTAAAACCAAGTAGCCAAGTTCTGCTTTACACTCACCTCAGCTTTGTATCTTTCCAAGCCAGGAGAACAGGAGGAATTCTTGCTCTTCAGAAAAAGAACAGATATAGCAGCTAACACTCTAAAGCCAGTAAGCTCTTTTGCCTGTTTCCAGTGCAGCCAAAACCAGTTTCTCAAGAGAGCAGTTTGACAGCTTCACTGCAACAGCACCGCTGTCAGTCAAATGGACTTCTGCCCATGAATAATTACAGGAAAATAAAAGCTCTCTGCCTTTTTCTCTTGGGTAACAGTGCAGTACTTTGGCAGTGCCACACAGCTGTAAGGACTTTCACACTGCTTATCACACCCAAAGGACTGACTCAGCTTTTGGCAGCTTTGTCTCTGGGTTGTTACTTCCAAATCTCTGTTTCAGTATGAAATCATTAAGCAGTTGGAATCAAAACATGTTACTTCAACATACACTGTCATGGTTTCCTCCTGAAGCCCCTAGAAGTCCTGGAAACACAAGTTTAGGCTGTTCAAATTTAAATACTTAAACTATAGCAGCAAAACAAAGCAAAATTAAAAGAAAACCAGGAGAGGAAACTTCTCTTGAAAGCAGAATCACTTTGTGTGAACAACAGAGGTGCTGAACAATAGCTTCTGCTTCTGTTTCTTTCTTTTCTTGCCTCCCTTTTCCTCTGTGAAGAATTAAAATGATACTGTCATTCTTGTCATGGAACAGGAACATCACACACAAATGATAAATGGTCTTCCCTGGCTTAAGTGGCTTCTACAGATCCACAACATTTCCTATCAATTCACTGAAAACCAGGTAGTTTAACAAAAACTTACTACAGATGAACTAAGGGAGACTCCATCACACCTGAAATACAATTATAAACATGCCTAAATGATTGTAAAGTTGCTGTTGCAACAGCAGATCCTAGGACTGGAGCATCCAGTAGTCTGCCTTTCTTACAAGTATCACTTTCATATATGTCCAAAAATACAACTGGAGCAGACACTCCACTGAAACTCCCAAGCCCTCCCATCCAGCTCTCTCCATCATCCAGTGCAGTCTCCAAACAGAAGCCAAAGCTAAACATCAGAACTGAGCAGTAAAAATAAGTTTCACCAACCAGCACCAGGTTAAATTTCACCTCAGTTAGTTTCACGTTTCCTAACTTGAAATTTCAGCTAGCAGTTACCTTGACATTTTGGTCAAACTGAAGTGGTAGTTCAGCAGCTCAGGTATTTTTAGTTTAGAAATCTATAACCCAAACTTCCTTAAGATAAAGCTTTAATTTAGGTTCCAGTAGAGACATGGCCAACACAATTGTCAAAAGCCATCTCTGTCCTAACAGGATTCTTTGCTAGTTGGAGATCTCAGCTCCCGCTAAAAGGCTGCTTCAAGCTGACAGAAGCCCCAGCCAAGCTGTTCAGAAACCACAACCTGACAATTTTCAGAACTGTTCTCTGGCCAATTTTTGGTCCCCAAAATTGCTGTTTTCACTTGTCCCAGAGAAAGAAGGGGAAATACTCCATTTTTTTCACTTCAGAATTTTTTCCTGCCTTTCCCCCTGCCTTTTACCTGATAAATGATCAGCTGTGGACGGTTTGTCCAGTTTCAGGAGGGCTGCCTCAATAGCTTGGCTGAAGGAATTCTGGAAGCTGGGCACAGGAATCCGGTCAGAGCTGTCACTTTCTCCATCACTATCTCCGGGCACAGGGAGTGCCAGAGTGTTCTCATCTGAAAGAGGGAAGGACGTGCACAAGACTGTATAAAACTTTCACCACACAAATGCCCCTCCACACTCCAGATCCTTCTCTTGAAGCTACAAGATTTCTCACATTTAGATGCATGGTAAAGAAACTGAAGTACTAATACCAAATTTTCTTACCTCTTGTCTTTGGAGCAGGTTTAGGCCATGTTTCTGGTTTTGCCTTTCCAACTCTCAACATCTGTCAAAAAAGTTGTAGGATATGATTAAATTCCACATACTTGAACAATCCTGCAGACCCCCTAAGTGGCAAGAAAATCTAGAAACCCCTTCAAGCACTCAAACCTTATGATGTCTCCCTAAGATTTATCCCACATTGTTTTTGTAAGGGAAGCAATTGTAGTTTCAGCCTAATCCCCAACTATGACACAAATAATTCTGACAAGATTCATTCTGCTACATGGTTTACCTGGGCAAAGGAAGGGAAGGGAGACTCTTCTTCCAAGCTTCCACAGAGCAATGGGCTGACCTGGCTGGCAGCAGGTGACAGCGGAGTTGGAATAGACTCTACAGAGAAAGGAACTGAGAATTAAAGCCAGTTGCATTTGGCCAAGGCAGTCATTATGCTGCTTATCACAACATAACAGAAATAAAGTTTTATTATCCTACATAATTAACCATTTTGATCTCATTGGTTCTGTCCATCAGTCACACAGCTGGATCTCTCAAATTTCCTCAATCCTTTTATTTAAGGGAAATTTAAATTTCCTTGTGGTTTTCTTTTTTCTTTTTTGTTTGAATGAGAGGTTTTGTTTACTTATTTTGGGAAGCTGCTAGGGGGATGGGGAATGTCTTTTTGTTTGGTTTATTTTAGAATAATGTGTTGGAGAAGATAGAGATGAAAGAAAGAAAAAATGCCAGTGGTGTTTTCCTGGCAAACACAATTTTCTTCTCTTTTTGGAGCAATTGTTTCCTTTCCTCTGCCACATGTAAAATATGGGGTAACTACAGTGAAGATCTCACATTCTCAAGGCAGAGGCAGTAAAAAGCAGACAAAGGAACAGAATGTTTCTTAACCATGTCTGCCCTTTGTGTATTATCTCATAGGCAGTCTAGGAAAGAATCAGAGAATCACAGAATGGTTTGGGAAGGGACTTGAAGACCATCTCAATCTACTCCCCTGCCATGGGCAGGCACACCTTTCACTACACCAGGTTGCTCCAAGCCCCATCCAACTTAGCCTTGAACACTTTCAGGGATTGAGCAGCCAGAGCTTCTCTGAAAAGAAGCTGTCTTTGATCAGTATTGCGAAAGTTTAGTATGACAACCTGAGCAATAGATCCCAAAAGAATGATCAAGAGCTAGATGTGATGTGTTTTTCCAGATGCTCACCTGTCTGAGACACAGGGCTTCTGCCAAGAGGAGACTGACAGAAGCCCTGATGATCAGTGCTGGCAGTTTCTCCAGGGCACGAGGTAAAAGCAGGGAACTGCTGCAGATTCTCTAGAGCAATATGGACCTCTGGATCTAGAAAGAGATTTTAAATTAAAGCACTACACAATGTGGGGGAGGACTGTCAATATGCAAGTCATTTAGGCAGTCTAGGAGGTGCCAACTCATTTCTTTCCACCCTCTATTTGGAGACCAGTACAAGCCCTGCTGCTGGATGGAAGCAGTTTCTAGGCCTTTTTTTGCCATCTTCACTTTTCACTTTACATCGTGATTACTATAAAAACAGAGAGCTATGTACACCATGGAGATAGACAGCTGTGCCCTTGAATGGCCTCCATCTCTCCCAAAATGCACAAGTATGCAGCAATTGCATAACATCACTTACCATCCTGGCTAAAACAGCTTATGCTTTTCATTATACAGACATTGTTTCTAATACTTCGTAATCTTGTTCTAAGTACAAACAACAAACTACAGGCCTTAGAGTTCATCCTATAGCTCAAGAAATCAGCTCAGCAAGCAAGTATGACTGAAAATCCACCAGTTATGTGCCATCATGACTTACATTTGCCCTGTTTCTTGTTTTCTTCTATCTCAATCCTGCGTTCGCGCCGTCGTTCATCGCGAGCTTTCTTCTGCCGTAGACGTTTCCTCTTTTCAAGGTCATCTAGGAGCAACGCACAATGCTGGATATCAAAAAACCCACACCAATACTCTGGAAAGCTTTCATCCAGCTCTCAGAAGAACCTTATAACACATTAGTAACAAAATATGCTTACAAACAACATATGCTCTTCCAAGCAGTTCGGATTTTTTATTCTTTTTGTAATTGTTGTCCATGAAACAGAGTTGGGGCTGCTCTGTCTAGCAGTCATCAGACAGTTGGTGCAAGAGAAGTAAAGCTCCAATGTATGTTCTTTTTTCTACCATTAAAGGGATAAGAACAACTTCCCCTTCCTGGCTGAAACTACTAGGAAGGTAGTACATACCTGAGAACAACTCTAAAGTCTCCTTAGAGATGACAGGTGGCTTCAGAGCCAGTTCACAAATGCTGAACTCACAGGTGAGGGGCAAGTGACAGAGGTAGCGATGACGCTGTCTTATATCCTGATAAAGAGAGAGTGATATGTCACCACAAGGACTAGAGGCAGCCATGGTGATGAATGGAAACAGAATGCACAACATTCATCAAATCAAATGGAAATAAATAGCACCAGTGACACAATAGTTACTTTAAAAACTATAAACACATGACTGATGCCCTGAGTCAGAATCTAATGTTCCAAGATCTCCACCAGCTACATGACAATCAGACTTGAACGCAGTTACTCCAGCTCGTTTACTGATTTTTGTCTTATTCCTCCCTTTTCACTCACATCACTGGAAAAAAGTTCTGCAATACCAGACTTGCAGCACAATTATTTTTGTACTGGACCATCTAGGAGAAAAAAACTATACTGTAGCCTACTTATCAAAAGCAACATAAGGCCCACCACAGATGCCCTTCACAGACTGGCATCCCTACACCCATTCATACTTATTATTTCTTACTACTGAAGAGAATCAAGTCTAGTCTACAATGACCAACCTGCTAAAAAACAAGAATTAACAAGAAGATAAAATAGCTACCTCTGTCATGGAGTAGCCAGTTATCTCCACTACAGCTGCAGTTATCTTCTCTGGACTCTTCTCCAAGCTGCCATATTCACGCACAAGGCATCGAACGTTCACAGGGTGAAGGTACATGCACTGCCCATCCTCCGCTGAAAGGCAAGACATCATCACTCCTTTGCCTGTTCATTTTCAGTACCCTTCTCCTCACCTCAGGACAACCTCCACTAATAAAATTAAAGCTCCTTTCTGAGCTCCTCTGGGACTCTTAGCTTGCAGGGGTTAGCTGGATCTAATGAACTGACAAACACCTTCCCCAAGGAGGGTCCCAAAGGAGGCATCTCTGCCCGTATGATTCCAGGATTTCATTGCACTGACCTTGATAGAAATAGTAAAAAGGAGAGTTGCCAAGATGTCCACTGCTAACTGTATCTTTAGATTCTTGGCAGCTTGTTTCAGCTGTATTTGGTTCCTCTACAGTGCTCATAACAGGTTCTCCTACAGCGTCCACCTCAGGTACTTCCTCCTCATCCGGCACTGCCTCTTCCACTTCCACAGGAGGCAAAAAGGAACTTGCCAGGTCAGAGCAAGGCTCCACAAGCTCCTCATCGAATGCAGAGAGATATTCCATATCACACTACCATAGCAGAGAGGATAGAATTAGAACCACGCCACCTACTTCAAAGATTATCATCTCTGCAAAAATCTTTGGCACGAGTTCACTGCACACTGCAGTGTGAAGTGGCAGAATTAAGTGTTAGCAGGATCTGCCAGAGCAGATTTGTCACACACCTTTTTCTCTTGGGAAACAGCAGGCTCCACAGCTTTAGAGCTTTCTAGGACCAATTCTTCCACAGCTGCACTGATTCCAGCAATGCCATTGTTTTTATCCTGGTCAGCAGAGAGTGCTGTTTCTCGTTCCTGCAGATCATCCAAAGGAATCAAGTTTCAATTTGCCATTTACGCCAAGAGACCACCCCCATAGTTATTTTTAGCCTTGCCCTGGCATTCCTTTACTGGAATACCATCCCATAAAAACCATTCTGCTGTGATGAACCACCTTGGATACCTGGGGCCCAAAGGCTACAGTCTCCTCCAGGGTTGCTACTCCAGCAGCAAACACCAGCAACTTGCTAAAGACCATCACACCATCCACACAATCACACACCATCCACGCAGAAGAACAAGGATGCTCAGCACTCAGCATACTCTTGAAAATAAAGCTGCTAAAAGCCTCCCAAGAGGTTGTTACCTTCAGCTCCTGGATAGCTGCCTCAATGAAACAGGCTTCAGGGGTGTGCTTTTCTTCCTCATACTGTTTCAGTAACGCTGCTTTCTCCTCCAGGATCACAAGCTGCAAGACCTGCTCCCTGGATGCCAGAAGCAGCTTTGAATACTGACTGTGCTGGTCATCTGCACAGAAAGAGCACCAAAACATTAATATCTGCACACAGAGCCACCAGTTTGGACTGCTGCTTCTTCTGAAGTTTTGTTACAGCTCATTTTTGTGAGTTAATCCCCCAGGGCAGACAACACTCAGCAAGAGTTTGATACAGACTCCACAAATACCATTGTATCACAAGCTGGTGTCACATAGCTGCTCTGACATCTATCACCCCACACAGCAGTTCATCTGCCACTTCACCACTGACTTGCTACACATCAGTAAAAATCAAACCTAAACTTCTACAGTGTAGGAGCATCACCTTTGAGAAGCCTTGAGGGCGTCAAAGCTTCCTGAAACAATGCAGTCTGCAGCCTCTTCCTCTTTCCTCAGAAATAGTGCTGTTGGAAATTTCTGCAAAGCCACCCTGGTTTGGCTCAAACTAGTTCATAAGCCCATATACATTAAAAATCCATACAAAACATTATTATGAGGTTTTTACAAGAAGCACAGCAGAAACAGTAAGCTAAAGAATGGCAGTTTAGCAAAAGGTGACCACTGCATCCCATATTAACACAGTCCCTGTATTCACTGCTCCCCAAGAGTCCAACCTTGTGTCTACAGACACCAAGCTAATGCTGAATTTCCTAATGGTGAATTATAGTGTTCTCAAATCCTACATTTGTTCTTTTGTTTGTTTTATGCAAGGACTTAAAAAGTCCCCTAGTTTCAAATACTGAGAAACATGTAAGACCACAGCCTGCATGCTGGATATCCATTACACATTACAAGATTTGACTTTTTCCAGAGAGTTTAAATGCATGCAGCCTTTCCTAAATGTGACTGCAAGATGAAGTGAGCCAAGACAGCCCACAAAGCAGCAATGTTCAGTAAAATTATTTCTTTAGTCACAAAATTTTTGCAATACTAACAGATAAGATGATGATGAGTTAGTCACACTCTTGACTGGAGAAAACTGAAGATGTCAGGCAACAGATGTTTGGAATAGGTTTGCAATAATTTTGATTATTTCCCCATAGCATTCACTGATTTCAGTTGATAAGTGAGGATGATGAAAACCTTGTTGAAGATTACAGCCTTGAAATAGTTTAGACACAGAGACAGTTATTTTTGTGAAGCTGTATAATGAGTCAGGATGAAAAAAGTTAGGGACATTGAAGAGCCAAGAAAAGCAGTAAAAGTCACACCGATGACTGCAGGATACAGAGGACACATCAAACTAAAAGCAGCAACTGTGAAGGCAGGAGTCTGCAGTTCAGTCACTTGAAGGGACACAGCACACAAGTTAAAGCCTTTATAGAAAAACAGTGTGAGTACAAAGTTTACTGTTAATATGTGGTCATTACGCTTTTTCTAAGCTTAAGATCACAGCATGGCATTGCCATGCTGTCATCTACAGAAATGATGACAGAAAATCTACACAAATCCTGGTCACAGTCAGGAACAGGATTCCAACCACCAGGATTCAGAAACACTCACCTCTGATGTAAACAGGCTGAACCACATTCATCCACTGGGATTTGGGCAGTGCTACCAGAACACCTTTCTCTCTTCTCATAAGTTGCATCGTAATGGTATCACCAATTGCATATTGACGTGTTTCCATAGCAACAACACTGCAATGTACGGAGGAGGTTAGCGGTGTAAAAATAACATTTCAAAAAGAAGCGTGATTTAATTAACGTTGTCTCACCTCTTGAGATCCTTCTTATGAACAGAGCCATAACAAATAGGACACTTGCTCCAGGTCTTCTCACTCAAGGAGAGATAGTGAAGGATACATGCCCAGCAGAAGATGTGTCCACAGCGGGTGATCTTGGCGGCGGTTGGTGGGTACAGACATATGGGGCAAGAGGGCACTTCGTGGCTACAGATTCGCTGAAATGGCACATGAGAAGAACAGTACAAGTTACAGACTCAGAAATCACTTCCTGGGATCCAGAATAAGCCACCTGTAAGATCTACTCTAACATATTATCTTCCAGCTCTTTAGGCTCTGTTTATTTACCAAGAAATTTGTGCACTCAGAACTAACACCTTCAGACTGCACATGGAATAACCTTCTAAGCAACCCATCTTGTGTCTTATTTCTACTCTAATGACATAAAAAAGTGAGTCTTCTCATGTTTCCCCTCACGTATTCATCACCTCTAAGAGTCAGCAGCATCTTCATCATGTGAATTCAGACAGTGAGAAGACGGCAAGCGAGCTCTGTGGCCTCTCCTGCAAGCAGACTTGTGCAGCCCTGTGTAACTGTGAGACTGAACTTACCCACTCCCATGAACATGCTAGGTCTAATCAGATACTCTGGTAGCATCTCTGTGTGGCAGAGAAGTAACTGCCAAGCAAGCACCTAGATTTTTTCAGCTCTCTTGTAGTGACAGGTAACAGTAAGCCTACCTCCTCTCCACCTACACCTTGCACCAGACTGTCTTGGCAGATACAAATTTTTGCTCAAGGCAACCCAAAACTTCTGACCACAATTCTCAAGAGATTTTCCATTTTGTTGCTAGGCAAGATAGGCCACCTATGCACAGAATAATTCTTCAGAATTCTACGCTGTAGTCCTCTTCCATGGACTCATGCCCAAGTTTTCTGTTAATATCTCGATCACAAGGACTCTGTCTACAGAATGTCAGATACTATTTTTGATGAGCTCCCATCTGCGAAAGCAAGAAGAAGCTGCTAATTTTCCTAATAGATTTTAGCACTTCTCTTTTCCTGTCATGAAAGTATTTCATAATATATTCCATGACAGATCTTTCCCAGTATTGTGGGAGTGACAGAAAAGGCCTCAACTCAAAAACAGCTGAGTTTTATGTAACATCACAGAGGGAAAGAGGTAGTTAAAGACAGGTTGAGGTTCTTAAGAAGGAAAAAAAAAATCTAGCCCATCACAACTGACCACTTGCTCCACAAAGTCCCAGTTGACCAAGGTATCTGGATCAGCAAAGTGGACTGTGTAGTCCTGTTCTTCAGAGACAACAAACTGGCAGCTGGGGAAAGGCAAAGAGACAGATGATCCACTCAGTTGTTTCTAAAAACTTTTTGAGAACTATCCTATAGGATTCTCTGAGCTTCTTCTTTGTCCAGCAGAAAACTGCTGGATGCAGTCAGTAACTTCTATCGACAAGAAATCAAAAGTTCAGTTCAAAACCAGATTTGCAGGATACAGGTGTGTCTAATTTCAGTTGGACACAACATCACACAGTAAGTACAGAATGAGCCAGGCAGACAGGTTTTCCAGAAACGTGTAAGAAACACTCAGCCGTAATGGGGATCTATTAAAAAACAGGGAATCCACAAGGGGAAAAATACTGTCACAAAAATTACAACTACTGGGGTTCCTGCAAATAGACTTCACTACAATAAGCCACAAAACATTATGGAGAAATCAGAAGCATCAATGCTGAAAATACTTTTTATCTTTAACATTATCAGAGATAGGATGTCCTGAACACACTTCAAACTATGGGGAAATTTCCAGTCAAAAAGGAATTTTGTTGCTACGTTACTATATTGATCATCATTTGGGTTATACTACATTTTTGGGGCTTGCAAAATAATCAGCATTTTAAAAACTAGGACCCATATAAGTAATTGCCTTTGGGATTCAAAAATGCAGATTAGCTTTCATCTAGCAACTGCTATCCCTTCCATCTCAACAAACCAACTTTTGGGGAAAAAAAAACCATCTTCTATAAGAACTATGTAGATATTCCCAAATAGGAGTGTCATGTCCCAAAGCCATGTTTGAAACCTTGAGCAGAAGATTTTTGGCTGTATCTAAAGGACTCACTCCATCAGATATCTTGCAAATAGGTGAAGACAACACCCCTTTGAAATACAGCCATTACCACTAAGAACACTACAGAAGGGTAATTTCACCCTGGAAAAGACAATACAGTTAGTCAAGCCCAAATACAATTCCCTGGATTGTCACCCCTTACAGCTCCATGTCTCTGCAGAAGTCTAAGAGCCCCATGGATCTCCCACTCACTTGGCCTGCAGGAAGAGCTCCTTGTTGAACGGTTTATGTCCCCACTTGTTCCTTTTCCCCCAATTGCCATGTCCATTCCCATCAAAATGTCCTGCTTGGCCACGGGGTTCAAAGGTGAAGTTCAGTAAGTGGTTCAGATTAATCTTCTTGGGACCAGAGAACTGGGCAGGGCTGAACTCTGCCCGTTGAGCCTCTGCTACCTAAGAGAGAACAGTATTTGTTAGAAATTGCTGGAGTTTACAGCAAAGGCATCAGTACAGGTGGACATCCAGGCCCCAGCAGTGATAGCACACAGAATGTGCAGCATCTACTCACTCACCTTCTCCCATCCCTATTCTGCAAATCAAATAGTGCAGCATTAGAAACACACAAGAACCTGAAAGTGAACTCAGTGGTCTTACCCCACACTGAGCAAAAGGAGAGTTAAGACCACAAAGACAAGTAAAAGCTGGCAAAACATAGTCAAGAATAAGTTGTTCGAATCCTGACAATATTCTTTTAGATAGCAATACAAGACTGATTACTGTTTTCCCAGGCTGTACTTGTTTGGGTTAGTTTTCATATAATAAAGCAACAAATCAGAATTCAACAGAGGCAGCAGGTGAATTTTCAGCCAGTGATCTAGGTGAGAAGTGTTGCTCATCCATCAAAAAACTGCAAAACCAGAGTGTCAGTTAAAGCTCACAAACACTCTACAGTATTTAGCTACACATCAGCATAAAAGCCTCAGTCTGGTTTTACCTTGATATCAGTAGGGCAAATACAATTACTTTCACAATACCACTATCACCTGTAAATTTGTGCCCCTGAAGTGCCTGGATATAATCAATCCTCAGAGGGCAAACTTTGGCCTGTTTAGAAGATTGTCTGGCAGAGTCCCTTAGGAGGCAGTGCTGAAGGGCAAAAGAGCCCTAAAGACTGGACATTCCTCAAGAAATCTTAAAGACACAGGAACATGCTGTCCCCTTGTGCCAGAAAAATTAGGCAAAAATAAGGGAAGACCAGCCTGGCTCAATAGTTTTACATGGAACTCAGGAAAAAAAAAAAGAATTTATGACCTGATAAAGAAGGGATGGGAACTCAGCTGAACTACAAAGATGTCAAGAAGTTATGCAGGGAAAGAAGTGAAGGGCCAAAGCCTGACTAGAACTTAATCTGGCCACTGCCATAAATGACAAAAAGATGTTTCCATAAATACACCAGATACAAAGAGAGCTTAAAAAAAAAACCTTGCTTTACTGGATGCAGAAGGAAACACAGTGGCAAAGGGTGAGGAAAAGGCTGAGGTACTTAATGCCTTCTTTCCCTCAGCCTTTAGTAGCAAGCCCAGGTACCCAGCCCCTGAGCTGGAAGATGGGACAAGGAGCAGAATGAAGCCCCATACTCCAGAGAAAGAGTCAGTGACCTGCTGTGCCACACAGACACCCCCAGCTCTGTGGGGCTGGATGGGAACCACCCACAGGGACTGAGGGAGCTGGCAGCAGTGACCATCATTTACCAGCAGTCCTGGCAAACTGGGAGGTCCCAGAAGACTGCAAGTCAACAAATGTGACACTCCCCCACAGGGGCTGGAAGGAGGATCTGGGGAATTACAGGCCTGTCAATCTGACCTTCATGATGGGCAAGGTTATGGAGATCATCCCTCAAGGCATCACAGTGTACAGGACAACCAGGGGATCAGGCCCAGCCAACATGGGTTTATGAAAGGCAGGTTCTGCATGACTAACCTGATCTCCTCCTATGACAAGGTGACACAGTGCATGAGGGAAAAGCTGTGGGTGTTGTCTACCTGGGCCTTAGAAAAGCCTTTGGCACAATTTCTCACAGCATTCTCCTGAAGAAACTGGCTGCCCATGGCTTGGATAAGTGCACCACTCCAAGTAAAAAGCCTGTCTGGATGGCTGGGCCCAGGGAGTGGAGGGACATGGGGTGACATCCAGCTGACCCCCACTAGTGGGGTTCCCCAGAGCTCAGTGTTTGGGCCAGTCCTGTTTAATGTCTTTGTCAATGATCTGGACAAGAGGTCTGAGGGCACCCTACACAAGTTCACAGATGACACCAATGTGGGTGGGAATGTAGACTTGCTGGAGGACAGAAAGGCTCTGTAGAGGGATCTGGACATGCTGGACTGATGGGCCAAGGCCAACAGTGTAAGGTTCAACAATGCCAAGTGCCACATCCTACACTTGGGTCACAACAGCCCCTTGGAATGCTCCAGGCCTGGGAAAAAGCAGCTGGCAAGTTGCCCATCAGGAGCCTGGGGGTGTTGGTAAACAGCAGCTGAACATGAACCAGGTGTGCCCAGGTGGGCAAGGCAGCCAATGGCACCTGGGCTGTACTAAAAATAGTGTGGCCAGCAGGAACAGAGCAGTGAAATCGTGTCACTATTTTCACAAAGGATCCGTGTCATGAGATGTGTACATGGCCTGTCTTGGCACCCATTCCTCAGATGGCATTTTTTCCTTAGAGCAGAGCAAAGAGCACTCCTCTTCTGTAGCTGCCAAGTTGCTCTACTCACACTCCCTCTGGCATCTCAACGATGTTAGCACCTCTAATTACTCTCTCCTTTCCCAGCCCAGGAACTGAACACAGCAGACCTATCTAGGCAGGTCAGGGTGATCCTCTCATCCCGAGAAAGGAGGTCTTGGAGCCATGGCATTACACTTCTCACCTCATCTCGTCTTCCACCATTAGAAGAGCTAAAAGGTTTGCCACTTCCCCCACTGCCTCCCCTTTGAGGGGGCATCTTGTTAAAAGCTTTGCTTTTCTGTGAATTGGAGCGACGGGACTGACTGGAAAAGTTCTCATTTTTTGAATATGAAGTTTCTCTTTTACGATTATAACGCTGTTTGGATCCACTCGCATTCTTTCCATCTGAAAGGAAAAGAAAAGAAGAATCAGATCAGCAGCTTCAGAATTGGCTCCATGTATTGCATCTCACTGAAATTCACCTCAGAGATGAGCTCACTTCAGCCACTATCTTAAGGGCAATGTTTATCAGGACATTAAATTCCCCCAGCAACCCAAACCACTTCATTCCTGTCATTATCCAAAGAGCTGGTCAAAGAGTTTAAAAGAATGTATTTGCTGTGCTCTACCTTTATAAAAAAAGTTACAATTTATCATATTTATGACACATAAAATACACTTCATAAATACACCACTGCCTGTGCTTTTCTTGAAGGCTTCCATTGCCTGTTTTCACTCACTTCTGCACTCTACACTTAAAAGATCCCAGCAGATCTAATTCTGTTTAAAAAAATACTTTTATGTCGTCAGGCCAAAAAATGCTGACTGATCTCGAAGCACAAACCAAACACTGTGGCCCTGCAGGGCACATCCCTAAGATCTCAGTACTATGTCCACCAACCTATGCAACAAGAACTGCTTGCCAAAAACTTAACACACCACTGACCCTAACACAGGACACAGTGGAGAAGCACAAAACCAAGTACTGCAGGAATAAAGAGCAGAAAAAACAGTCCAGCTCTTGAGAGGGGTTTTCTGTGCCTCAGCAGCTGGTAAATAAAACTGCTAGAACAGAGTCAATACTACAAAGGTATTTCTAGTAGTCTTAACACAAGATCAGAGCTGCCCAAGGACACAACAAACTGCAGACTGGGTGCTTAACCTGGCACTACCACCACCTGCCCCAAGTTTTATTTGTAGCAGAGGTATGGTGATAAGCTCAGAAACAAAACTCCTCAGGCCCCAGAAGATATCTACCGACACCAGCCAGCCCCAAAGTCACTCTGGATACTCAGTAAACATTACACAAACAGCAAGACCTCACACAGTATCTAGTTGCATTTTATAAAAGCCTATTAGTTTCCCTTCTCCCACTTTGTAGTCTTCCTCCCCACCCCTTAACATAAATTTTACATGTCAGGCAGAACACATCACTGTGATTCAGGATCAGAGTCTCATATGGGCAGATTCATTGCCTATGCTTCCAGTTTTTCCCTTTCCCAGAACCACTTCCCATCTACCCAAGCATTTATAACAGCTGGAACAGCATCATCCACACAAAGTATCTTTTTTTGTTGCTGCTGTCATTTTTAAGTTTTTTCTTCCACCTGCATCCCCCAGAAAAGGTGAGCTGAGAACAGGATGGTCTGTGTGTATATACAACAATAATTGATTATATACTGATAATATTACTGAGGATCCAACTTCTTAAAAATAAATTAAGTAATAAAAGTGGCTGGACCGGGTTCTGTGCTGGTCTGCTGCTTCTTGCACTTGCCAGACTTCTTTGGCTGCAACTACAGCTAAAACAGGGCACTATCATTACTTTCACACGATGTGACAGGCCCATATTGCAGACAAACTTCACCATCAGAACTGGTAATTTACTCTGCTATTCAAAAGGCTGATCCTTTAATTCAGAATTAAACCAACTCTGTCAGAACCACAGCTGTGTAACTCAAACACATGCCTGCAGAGCTGGCACTGCTTTAATGCACATCAGGCTAAAAAGACATGGCTTGAGTGTTATCAGGAAAAAACACACCAGAAACTGCCAAGTACTAAGGGTGTGACCAGGTCTGGCTGAATGATTAGACAGACCTTCTTGAGAGTGTTTGTAGGGAAGGAGGAATAACCAAATCCTCAGAGTCTCCAGTAAAAAAAATTAAGTAGTTTTGAAGAGGTTTGGATCACTCCTTAAGTTACTCAGGAGTAAAACTTGTCAGTTTAGAGTTCAAACACCCTCTTAAATCTGTAATTTCAGTAAATGCACTGGAGGGGCACATGCCTGTTGTGTCTGTACCACTTTGCAGTTTCTCTGCCATCTTCAAATGTCAGAGAAACAAAAAAGAAACAACTCAAAAACAATCTGTCTAAAGTGGGTGTTTACAAGGCCCCAGAACAAGGAACAGCTCACCCCTGGAGCTGACAGAAGAATTTCCTACCACTTAAAGTTTTAATCGAGTTACTCACCGCCAACTTTGTCAGTCAGATGGTTTACACACATTCCTGTCATACTACAGGTCCTTTTAAGGCACTTCCTAGAGCCTTTGGGAGTCACTTCAGTGACTCTCATTTTATAAGAAAGAACTCTCCTCTTGTGCCTTTTTTAAAAGGACCCTACAACAATGCTTCAAACCTGATTTTACAGATCAGTAGTTTCACCCCCCCACCACAAGAATAACTGACCTCAGGAGAAGCCTGGTCCATCAGAGCCATAATGAAATTGGTCAGCAGACAGCCAGGAGCCTGGAGAATGCATCTGTGGATTGGAACAACTTTCCCCCACCCTGAATCTAAGCAACACTGTTCCTTCCAACCTTTCCAGCATACCACACATCAGGGAGCTCTCTGCTTTCTATCATCCATCCCAGCACTCCCATGAAGAGCAGGGCAGGACAGGCCGCACTCAGGCACAGAGAAAAGTGGAAGATTCTCACTGTCATCCTCTCTTGTGAGATCCCAGATTTAATCAGGGTAAGTTTGGATTTGGAAGTTTCTTTTTTGCTTCTTTTCTTGGCAAATTAAGAGTTAGCAACAGCCAGAGTGCTGGTGAGGTACTTACTTTTCTCTCAGATCCTCAGTTAGTCCTTTTTCTGTTTTCATGGCCTCTAACCTATATATATACAGATTATGTGGATTTATCTACCCATTCACACTCCAAGAGACTTCTAAAAAATACTCTTTGTATAATTTAAAAACACTAGCAAAAAAATTGTTCTGGCATTCTGGAGCAAGCCCTGAGATTTGTGGTTTCTCCTGCTGCTAGAGGGCCTTTATCTCCAAAGATCTAGAGAGAGATGAAGTTCACAGCATTAGAAGAAGCTGTAGGTGACTACTTGAGCTGCAATACTGGTCTACTAATGGGGTGAGAACTGCTGTTTCCTTCCACCTTTCTTCCCTTTTCTGCTGAGCTGTGCTGAAGCCAGGAGCATTGCATAAGGGGCCAGGCTGACACCAAAGCCACAGGGTGGTTTCATGCAAACACACTGAGGCCAGGCTGCTGCCAAGGCAAACATCCCAGTGAGCAGGAGGTGACCGAGCTCTGGCAGCCCAGCCAAGCAGGCTCACACTGGGTGTGATAAGGCCCAGGAATGTTTGTGACAACATTGTCCATCAGCTCCTGAGGACTGCAGAAAACCCCAACAAGCCTATTTTACCTTAGCTGCTTCATTCCACTTTAACTGGATGTGATTCCTGTTGGCACACTAAGACAACATAAAACTTTTCTGTTGGAAACTTTTAGTTTAATTTAGTCTCTGAGGCCAAATTTGAAAGATAGGAGGAATCAAACTTCCACAAATACGAGGGAATGCAGTACTCTATTTAGCCAGTTTCCAGCTGCAAGAGAAAGAGAAGCTACCAAGAGGATTCAGGAATATCCATTTCTTCATTTCCTCAGCTGAACAGTGACAGCAGGTAACTTTAGAAAGCATCAAATGGCAACTGCTAGTCTAGATTTAACCCAATGAACATCTGAAGAAGGTCTGTGGTCTATAAGATTACCTTCCATTTCAGAGGAGACACAAGATTTCCAGAATACAACTTATATCTGTCCTTAAAGGTGTGCACCACATCAGCTACAAGGACAGTGACAAGTAACTCAAGAAAAAGATTCTGTATGGTGACATGTCAGTGTTCTACACACAACAGCTATGAAAACACAGCCACAGTTTTATTCAGCTGTATCCTGTGTAGTTGTTTGCCCTAATTTTACAAAGGGAATAGTTTCATTTCAGTTTTCAGTACCCTGCAGTTAAGATATTCCTAAATAAACATCTACTCCTATGAAAAGAGATTCTAATTTGTCCAGGTCTCTGATGCCCTGTAAAGGAAGCAGCTCATCCGTCTGCCCTCCACTGTAGCTCAGAAACAAATATCACTGAAGTGGAATTATGCCCTAACAAAAATTTTCCTCTGTTTTATTTTAAAAAAGAGGTCTTAAAAAGTTTTGCCTTTTATTTGATTAAAAGTTTTAGACTAGACAAGAATGGTCATCAGGCTTCCTCTCCCCACTGCTCCTGTGCTATCAGTGCCATTATTTCAAGGCTGTGAAAGGTGACATTCCACAAAAATCACTTAACATTTTTGTTGTGGGCTGGAACAACAGGCCTTTTACATCCTTCCTCAGTCCAGATACTGTGTCTTCTACACAAAGGGATACCAGCACAAATCATTTTAACCCCTTCCTGAAGGATGTTTGTATTCTGTGAACAATCCTCCACAGAGCATAACACACCACTACAGAAGAAGCTGGAGTAAGGAAGCTTCTCTTGGCAAGACAGGGACAAAAAAAGTTCTTCTTAAAAAGACTTCCAAGTGTTTGAATTTGAAGTTAAAATTTCACTGCAATTGTTAAGAGTTACACCACAACCTGGGGAGCTGTGGGTGAGTCACCTCACGTCCCACTTCTGTCAGTCCTGTGGAAGGACAGTTAATACAGGTGAAGAGCAGGTAATACTTGGTTACCCAGGACATGACCATGCTTAGAAGGTCCAAAAAGGAGTCAACAAACACCTCCAAGATACTCATTTTGTTAAAATCCTCTGGAGTGCACTGCTGCTTTCTCAGAGGCCTCAAGTAATGCAGCTGAAACAAACCACTAGGAGGAAGGAAATTAGTACAGCAATGGCGGTGTAGCAACCTGTTGACACTCTCCCATGTACTTCCAGGACTAAAATCACCGATTTCAATCACTATTGCCCCATTTCTAGGTGTTAGGGGAAAAAAAAAAACAAAACAAAAAGTTGCAAAAAACACTCCCTGAACAGGTCTGGAGAGCTAAGAGGGCTTAGGTCTTACCTTGAAATGATGACAGGAGCCACATTGGCTTCTGCCAAACTGCTCTGTCAGCAGAACTAGCTGTTTGCAATTCCAGGTGTGACACTTTGGGTTGAATGCCAGATGAGCAAACAACAGCCAGCTAACTGTGAGCTCCCCCAAAGCAGGTCACTGAAATCGGGGCACGGGGAATGCTGTGTACAGGTACCAGATCCCCTCAGTGAGGTATAACACAGGTACAAAATAAAGTTAAGGGCTCTATTCACAGGCACTGACAAATACATGGTCTTACTACAGCTCTCAAGCTGATTACTCCGATACTAATAAAGATAAAGCACTAATCCTTAAAGAAAGAGGAGAGTAGGAATCCCAGCTCACCAAACAGCGAGCAAAGCCGGAAGAGGATGGAAAAAGAAACCACAAACAGGCAGTGACCTGAAACGCCGCCTATTAAACCCAGCTGAGACACAAACAACCCGCCAAGGCGAAGTTCAGCTTCACCACAAACCCAAGGGCGGCACAAGGCCGTGTGTCCCCGCAGCCCCCCGCTCACCCCTCCGGCCCTGCGGAGCCCCCTCCCAGCTCTCACCGCCTTTGGGCTTAGACTCCCCCGCGGCGGGCCCGGCCGAGGCGGAGCGCGGCTGCTGCCCTTTGCTGCCGGCCGAGGATCCGGGCGCACCGGAGCCGCAGGGGCTGCTCTTGTCCATGGCGGGGGCTGCGGGGGTCGCGCCGGGCGGGCTCTGCAGCATCAACGGGCGCCCCGGGCGAGCGGCGGCCCTGGGCGGGGGGGCACGACGGGCGCTGGCGGAGCCGGCGGGGGCCCAGGCTCATGGCCCGCGGGGGCGACCGGCGGGGGCGGCGCAGCGCGGACTCGGCCTCCTTCATGGCGACATCTTCTCGCTGCTCCGCTCGAACCGGGGAAGGCCGCGGGAGGCCGGGCCGGGCCTGCGGGGCTCCGGGCGCGGGGGAGAGAAGAGCTGCTCACGGAGCCCCGCGGGGCCCGGCGCTGCTGCCGCCCGAGGGGTCGGCACCACCCCGGCACCCACCGGCTGCTCGGCGCCGCACCGGCCCCGGCTCGGCCGCCGCTGCCCCGTAATGGCGACGAGTCGCCCGCAGCAGTGGCCGGACCCGGATGCAGCCGGTCCGGGCGGGCCCCCGGGCATGACGGGATTTGTAGTCCTGGGCCGCGCGGGGCGCGCCGGGAGCTGCGGGCCGGGCCCTGCGCCGAGCCCGGAGCCCGCCCCTCGCTCCCCACCTCAGCGGCATGGAAAATCATTTGGTATAAAATCATTGCCAGCGATTTGTAGCAAATAATCGTAAAAGTTTTGTTTGTTTGTTTGTTTTTAAATCTCATCGGGCCTACTTGAAGTGGTATTTTCAAACTTTTCCCTCAAAACAAAAGGGGGAAAAAAACCTCACAAGGCAACTCGGATCCTAAAGGCATTTATTTTAACCTTTAAAATACATTCTTGAATGCATCTCCTGATGCCTTTTCTATTATTTCTATTATTTCTATTATTTCTATTTCTATTATTTCTATTATTTCAGGGATGATAGGTTCAAGTTCCATGGGAGAGCAATTCCCAGCTTCTTAAAAAAATATGGGTGGAGCATGTAAGGGCATCTTTACCCTTAATTCATAATTCATACCATGATCCGAATCTACAGCCCCTCAAGTAAAAGCTTCACTACCAGTTTTGTACACACAGGCCACATGCTCTGTAACACCAGTATGATCGACAAATCTAGGAATTTGTGTTTTACACATTTCAAACATATCGTCTGTAAATGTTATTTTTAGAAAAACTTCATAAAGGCCTGTTTTTAACACCTGATTGTTCCCTAATTAGGGCTGTTGTTCTTGGAATTACTGTGGTAACTGCTGTAAGAATAGTTACCACAGCATTTAGATCTTCTGGATTTGTGGGGGAAAAACCCCTCAACTTTCTAACAAAGTTGCTCCTCCACATTTGAAAATAAATAAGAAATAGCACATGCAGTACTAGAATGAGAGTATAGAGACACAAAACTTCTAAAAGCAAAACACAACATTTTTATTAGCAAATTAACAAAGGCTCTGAAAAGAAAATAAATGCAAGGAAGACTTCCCCCAAATAAAAACAACCATATCATTCAAATAGTGTTCAATATGAAGATATTAGGAGCGAAGACTGGACCTCGTTACCGGAGCTGCAGTGCCACACACAACACCGCATTCCTCCGGAGACCGACTGGCACCCGGCACAGCATCGCTTCAGACAGCTCCGGATCCTTTATCACAACCGTCAGATCACACATGGTCACCTATAATAAAAAAAGCATGCAAAGTTTCCGGGCACTGGAGGGCGGGGCCTGCGGCAGGACCCGCAGCTCCCCTCACGGCCCGGCCGCGCTCCGCCACCCCCGTCCGGCGGGTCCGGCCCGGCCCCTGCGCCCCCGCCGCCATTGCTCAGGAGCGTCCCGGCCACGCCCCCTGCGGGCCGACCGCCAGCCATTGGTCACCGCCGGGAGCGCCCCCGCAGCTCATTGGCCAGGTGCGGGATGATGGGCGGGGCGTTCCCCCACCCCGGCGTGCCGCGCGCCCGCTCCCGTTTCCACGGCGACGGCAACGCTGCTGCGGCCCCGGTAACCGGGGACACGGGGAGAGCGGCTGCGGCCTAACTCTGCCTAAAACAATTGTAATGCTGTTGGCGCTGTAATGAACAGGGAGGGGATTCGGCTAAAAGCCTCCCGCTACTCCTGGGAGCACCGTTTGCTGTACAAGAGCAGGAGCCTGGGTCGTTCTTCTGGCCTGGCTGGCCAGTACCTCTGCTTGGTCAAGGAGCTTTGAGCCCACACTAGGAAATTTCGGAGTTTTTTCTCGATATGATAGCTGCTGGAAAAACACAGAGGGCACTGGGCTTATTTTCAAGGCTCCACATATTTTCCTTCCCTGCAACACAGCACCAGGGGTAGGACGTGGGACAGACAGGTGGCTTTCCACCCAGGCCAAGGGCTACTACAGCTCCTTCTTGTCCCTGACAGAGCACAGGCCTGTCTAACCACAGCACTCCTTGGTGACTTAGGTACATAGCTCAGCATTCAGCTATTCTGGATTCCAGAAGTGATTTCTCTAAGGTGACACCTGGCCCCAGGAAAAGTCCAAAGTATTGCATGACCACAGTATTTCACTTTTCCAAAGTGGTGTTGCCCCTTGAGGTCTTGTGCGGATAGTGTTCCATGAAAATATTTATCCTCTTTATAATGACTGTGATTTCTCTTTCAACTTCCCATTTCTCCACAGCCCAAACAGACCCTACAGAAGCTGCTGCACATTTCTGGGGGCATGTCTGTATCCTCTACCACAGCTGCCTGATCAACCATGGATGTCTGTATCAAGCAGTGAAGAGGGTTTAGCTGCAGGAGCAAGCCCCTGCCAGACCCACCAGCCAAGCAGCCCCACAGGAACTGTCATTCCCAGCACGGCCTCAGTGCCACACGGTGCCACCACTGTCACTGGGTGTGCCAGGCAGGGGAACAGCTCGAGCAGCCCCAGCTCACATTAAGCACCCTCTCTGGCTGGGAGTGACAAGCACCACCCGAGCCCTGACACCCACACCAGGCTCCCACTGCCCTGGGGCTCTCACTCCCCTGAAGCAGCCCAGGCAGAGTGCAGCTGCTGTCCTTTGCTGCGGGGCCGGCACAAGAGGCTCTGCTCCACGCCCGGGATCACGACCGGTGCCCGGTGATGGTGACGAGTCACGCGCAGCCGTGTCCGGAGCTGGATGGAGCCCAGGCACGATGGGAACGCTGCAGGCCCCACACAGAGCCCCACACACCCCTTCAGGCAGCACTCCCCATGGCTTGATCAGACCGAATTATCACTGTCACCACAACAATACAAATCAGCCAGAAATAACAACCTGGCTGGGGTAGAACTTGGCTTTTATTCTCCAGCGCACTTCTCCAGAGACAGCAGAAAAAGAAACAGCTCAATTTTTGGGACAGCACATTCAGGAAAACAAGATGGGGAAAATTATTTTATAAAAGTAAAATCAGAAGAATAAGAGAAGTTTGAAACATAAAGAGCTAAACACTGTCAGTACTTGCATAGCACTAGCAGTAATCTGGAAATACAGTAGATGGCTATAAAACTTGCAAAAGCAAAACTGCTCCAACAGCTCTAGTAGCAAAGGAGGAGCCTTCTGAAAAAAAAATAAATACAAGGAAGACTTTTTTGGTACTTTTCCTTTTTATATCCACAATGTAATGTCATCTGTTACAACATAATCCCTGCCATTGCCCTTGAAAATCAAGGCCTGTGTCCTCAGGAAGGCTGCAGTAACTAGTCAGAGTCCTGTAACTGGATGCAAGTTTCAGTAACAGTCCATGGTTCTAGCCAGACTTGAAAAGAAGAATAGCGACTTGGCCGAGGTAGAAGTAGATGAAGTGCTTGGTCTCATGAGTCACGTAGCTGCCAAAATTCCTTCCCACGATGCAGTGCCAAGTGGGATTGTATTTCTTGTCAAACTCCTGCAAAAGAGATCATGACAAATCAAGAACTCTTCTAATAGGTATTCACTTTCTGAGCAAGGCAATCAGAGGAAGAAGAGATGCTCTTACATACTAGGATTATTTTATTTACATCTTATTGTTCACCTGCTGCTTAGTCAGACACACAAAAACCCCTCAGCACTTCTGCACTGAGCAGTAATAAGTTTAAAACATTACTTTTGTTGAAGGAAAGTAGTCTTCTATTCCCCCAAATTCATAACATGATTGAATATACAATTCCCAAGTAAAAGATCATTAGTTTGAGACAAAGCCATAATTTAGACTTCATTGTCTATCAGCAGCACAGCTGCTGAACAGGAAATTCTCTGCCACATGCTCTGAAACAACAGTATGATCAATAAATCTAAGCACTTGTGCTTTACGTATTTTCAAACAAATCCTCTATAAATTCCCAGTAGTTGCTACAAAGGATATTTGAAAAGTACTGAACTCTCTCTTCAACTTTCATAGGTACTTTCTGCATCTGGAGAAATAAAGCCTTTCTGTATTCTGGTCAAAGCAAACAAGCATTTTTTTAGCAGAGACAATTGTTCTGTATGAATTAATTACTTCCCATGTTACAGAAACTTCTCCATCCCAGGTACCCCATATTTTAAAGTTACCTCCACCCCAAGTGTCCTGGAGCAGAATCTCAGGCTTTGAGTGGTACAGCAACAGAATAGCTCCAGCTGGGTGCCTTCAGAAGGATACCGAACAAAGAGATTCCCAGGCAATTACACCCTCCCAATCTCAGTTCCCCACCCTTCACAGTTCAGACCACTAATGACATTAGGGTCTGAGGACTTCTTGTTCTTTATTGCGTCTGGACAGTCTTTTTTATCTCTCGTGTTGAAGTTTCTGCTGACAGTTATAACTTCCTTATTTTCCAGCCTGAACTAGCTCTTGAGGCCCTTTTTCACAGCGTTAGGTAGAAGTTAGCATATCCACGTGAAAATTCCCAGCTTGTGGCCTAAACCTTTATCAAATTTAGCTTCTCATGCCAAGCAGTTAACTCCAGACAGTGATCGGCCTTAACATTTCAACAGCTCTTCCACTCAGATCTCTTTAACTTCTACTGACGCACTTTGATTTCTCCGTTCTCCTGAGCTGACAAAGCAGGAAATATAATCTGAACTAGATCTTTCTCGTGTATTGTTAATCCTACATAAAGGACGACACAGATGTTGCAAACAGCAGATAATCAGTGCCACCAGGATATTTTTTTGGGGGGCTTATATCACTACATAAGGACAGGTGTGATTACAGAGAATTGCAGAAAACTACTTTTCCCCTGCTATTTTTGATCCAAAGATCGAAAGATCTTTGGCAAGAATTATAAAGAGATCCTTAAGATTAAATTAAATACAATTGAAACCAAGAACAAGCTTCCTCTCAGAGGAAAACCACAGGACAGCTCAATAGAATCGCTGTGTTTTGTACCAGCTCATCAGTCACAGGGAGAGTCAGGTGCCACTCTATCCTCACGTGGACAACGGGACAGTGGTAAAAAAGGCAGTAAGCAGAAAGGACTGCAAGAAAAAAGCAGCACCTACAAAGGTCCATGTAAAAGGTGGGTAAAGGAACACATGGACATCAGCCTA